AGTGGATGGTACTGACGTTCTCTTTTGGGAACCTACGTTGGTCTGCGGTACAACGTAGGAACCGGATTTGCAGGCGAGCAGGCTACGAGTTAGGACTTCCTTCCCTTCCAGTGATATTGGTGAGCTCCGCTTTTGTTCGTGGAGTATTCTTAGAGTCATTTTCATTTAGCTATTTCTTTATTTATTTAGAGAACTGGCCAGGAAATCTCATGTCCTGAGCAGTGCGTCAGTTTATCGGTAGAGGCTTCATAGACATAGTCATTGGGTTGAGATTCATATGTTATTTTATAATAACTTAGCAATAATTCAGTAGTTACTATGAATAAAGTTTTGGAGTTGATTTATTTAAATATTTGAATTAATCAAGAGTATTTGGTTAGAGTATTGCTTTGTTGCATATAAAGTGTGGAGCTATAATACATTGAATAAGCAGAGATGGTTCGCTCGATCAGGTTTAGTGATCGAGTGCCGGTCTTGGCTTGTTTAGAAAATGGGTCGTGACATTGCCAGCCCGAAAAGAGTGATATGTTAGCAAAATGAGAATAAAACCTTTGCAGTCACCAAACTTAAGCAACTGATATAAGCATAAACCTTTGAACCTCAAGGCAGAGTCACCAATAATCACTACATGAGCAAACTCCATTTTGAAAGTGATGATAGCGATTTGTATCCCTAACAACAATCAGACGTTGTGTGATATTGGAAATAAGCTTGGCAGCAATGTGGCAATCTCCACATACACGTAGGTTCTTAGTAATTCTAATGGGTGTACCAGGGGTGGTGTTGATAATTGCAAAGACAATGGCCAGTTTCTCACTATGAACTACAAGATGATTTTCTTTGTCTTCCTCCTCAACATCATGAAGGGCAGCATCTGTTTCTGGGACATATCCTTCCTCTTTCATCTTGCCTATTAATATGTCTAACTCTTCATAGATCTTCTTTGATTGTGGGTGAGACGTATCACCAGCGAGGAAGGTGTGCACCATGTTATTGAGCTCAATATTGCTGATACCGGGCATTTTCTTAATCCCTCTTCCCTTCATGATTGACCTAACAGTCGTTACATCTTCCCATCTTCCAGCCTTCGCATAAATATTTGATAGCAACACATAATAACCAGATTGCTTTGGGGACAATTCAAAAAGATTGTCTGCAGCTACAAGACCAATGTCCATATCATTGTACAACCGACAGGCACCCAAAAGAGCACCCCAGATTCTCTCATTAGCTTCCACAGGTATCTGCTTGACGAAATTGTAGGCCTCATTTATGCGTCCAGCGCGTCCTTTTAAATCAACCATGCAGGCATAATGTTCTAACCTTGGCACAATCTTGTAATTGTTGGTCATTAGCCTGTAATAGTATTCTCCTTCTTGTACCAATCCTGCATGGCTGCACGCAGAAAGAACGGAAACGAAAGCAATAGAATCAGGTTGAAGACCAGACTCCAACATTTTTGAAAACAAAGCAACTCCATCCCGGCCTTGGCCACTCTTACCATAAGCAGATATCAAGGAAGTCCATGACACAACATCCCGAAACTTCATCCCCTCAAACATTTTCCTTGCCTCTGTCAAACATCCGCACCTGGCATACATATCAACTAAGGAGTTCTCAAGAGATAAATTTGGCCTAAGACCTTTTCTCTCAACAGATTCATGAATCCTCCTTCCCAACGATGCAGCTGAAAGGTCCCCACAAGCAGGAAGAATGCTAGCAAAAGTTATAGCATCAGGCTCGATCCCACAAGTTTCCATTTGGAGATAGAGCTCAACCGCCTCATTAGGCATAGAATTCTTGACATATATAGCTATCATCACATTCCATGGAACCAAATCCTTTTTATCCATATTCAAGAAAATATCTTTGACGAACAAGACATTCTCAATGCTGGTATTGCTTACAGCAGGTAAAAGGCTAGCCATGGTTCCCGCATTTGGTTTATGACCTAACAAGTTCATTTCCTTACAAACCTCTAATGCATCATCAAACCTTCCATTTTGAGCATATCCAACAACCATTGAATTCCAAGAAACGACGTCCCGTTTGGGCATTTCATTTAGAACCTGACGAGCCTCCACTAAACACCCACATTTCCCATACATAGCCACCAGGCAATTCCCAATAAATAGGTCAGAATAGAGACCCCTCTTGCTAACAGCACTGTGAATTTGCAGCCCCGCCTTCAAATTATCAGAGCCAAAACAAGCTTTAAGAACACAAGGAAATGTAAAGTTATCAGGACTAACATCTCGTTTACACATATCTTTGTAAACAAAAATAGCATCTTGATAGAACCTGTTATTCGCATAGCTCCTGATCATGACATTATATACCACCACATTCCTGTCAAGTATTTTATCAAACAGTTGGCGACTAACATTAGGTTGGCCGCAAACCGCATAAGCTCGCATCAACTTGATGGCAAGAGACGTGTTGCAACATAGATCAGGATCGAAAATAATCTTGGAATGTAGTTTTTTCAGTGTTTCGATATCTGGTTGTCTGTCTAATATACGACTGGAAGTAACCTCGTCTAAATGGAAAGAGTAGCTCAGCTGGGGTTTTCTCACTGTTTGTATATACGAATTGGCGGTGGAACTATGGCGGCAAAGACGCATGGGGCTTGCAGTGGGTGTCATCAAACAACAACTTACGATTGAGTTGAGAAATATTTAGGGAGATTTTGGAAGAAGACACAATTTTATACTCGATTCATATGCATTCCATATCCTGAATAAAGTGCCGTTGGAGTACTCCAAAAATTGATACTCCATTAGTTTCCCCCTACTTTGTTTTGGTTATCAGTGTTTAGCTTGAAGGAAACTTAATTTCTGTTCTCAAAACTAATTTAGATGTTTAAGAAGATGACATTTTTGTACAACAGGGTGTAACACTGCGCGTCAAAAAATATTTATACTTTTGGTCAAACACATTAGTTACTTCGGTTTGAAAATACACAATATTTTTGGGGTTGCAGTGAGTATCTCTCCGCTCTCTCCTCTTTCTAGAAAATGCTTTTCTTTTTCTAACACCCCCATTACTACTAGTACCTTAAACAAACAAGGTAAAGAAAATATTGTTATCTTATTTTTGTATACGGGTAAAACCGGAGGTAAGGAGCACCCGATATTCTAGGGGTGAACGAAGAGAGGACGTAACTGTGCGTAGTCGAGATCGAAGCCGGGAGCCGCCCGTATCAAAACTCGAACAAAACACCTGTCCCCGGAGCCATCGAGGTCATGCCCTCGGAGCCATCGAGGTCATACCCCCGGAGCCATTGAGATCATGCCCCCGACTTGATTTGAATAACGAGACCTTAGAAAGTATTGACAAACGACTGCACACGATTAACAAATGGTCGTGATATCCGTGCCCAACCGGATGTCACAGCATAAATCTCGGCCTGTATCAATGATTAGCAAGAAGAAAGATTGTTACCTTTTTTAGAATTGTACTCAGGGTAAAACTCCCCTACTATATAAGGGGAAGTTGACTATTCATTAGGGACGTGGTAACAGGCATACCAAGGCAATATACATCTATTTTTCTCTGGTTATTGAAAGTTCTTGTTGTGGTTCATAAGTTTTTCAGAAGCACTGGTCTGGAACTGAAGGCAAGTTTGTTGTTAAGCCTTTAATCGAGCCCGGGTTCAGTATCATTATTGGTTTGGTTATTTATTCTATCTTTTAATTTCTTATCTAACGTCATTAATTACTTGTATCGAATTAATCTACATATCCTTAAAATCACATATAAATTTAATTGTTATCCATTTTTAAGGGTAAACAGTTTGGCGCCAACCATGGGGCTAAGGATAATAGTGGTAGTTTGGTACAAATTTCCATAACACACACTATATTTTACGCTTGTTCTTTAAGATTTTAATTTCAGGTCTACCTAAGGATGTCGAACTCTCAGTCTGCTCACTTCAACGTTGATATTGAGTCCGACATCATGGCAAAAATAACAATATAGCACCTAGCAACGAGGTACCTCCTACTGATCCCAACGGAGCCCAGACCCAATCGATGACAACTCACATGTGGTCATCGACGCCAACATGTCGACCGACCTTGAGAACAGCGTTCGCGGGAAAGCCCAACCAACGACTCGAGCTATGCCCGAAGGTGAAGGCGACGGAATTAATCTACGGGTGATCTTCAAAATGTTACAGGCACAACAGGAGGCGATAGCAAAGCTACAGAACCAAAGCCGCGCCCCCAGCAGAATTGAGCCCGAACAATCCCGGGAAAACACCCGAAGGAATGAGCAAGTCTTGGAGAGGCCGGGTGAAGCTGAGCCTGGAACCAACCCCAAAATCATTAAGATGCTCGAGGAACTGACGAAACGGGTGGAATCATTAATCACTTGTATCGAATTAATCTACGTATTCTTAAAACCGCGTATATATTCAATTGTTATCCATTTTTAAGGGTAAACAGTTTGGCGCCAACCGTAGGACTAAGGATAATAGTTGTAGTTTGGTACATATTTCTATAACACACTATATTTTATGCTTGTTGTTTAAGATTTTAATTTCAGGTCTACCTAAGGATGTCGAACTCTCAGTCTGATCACTTTAACATTGATATTGAGTTTGGTCATCATGGCGAAAACAACAATATAGCACCTAGCAACGAGGTGCCTCCTACTGATCCCAACGGAACCCCAGTCGCAGACCCAATCGATGACAACTCGCATGTGGCCATCAACGTCAACTTGTCGACCGACCTTGAGAACAACGTTTGCGGGGGAACTCGACCAATGACTCAAGCTACGCCTAATGGTGAAGGCCACAGAATTAATCTATGGGTGATCTTTGAAATGTTACATGCTTAAAAGGCAGTGATAGCACAGCTATAGAACCAAAGTCGCGCCCCTAGAAGAATTGAGCCCGAACAATCCCGGGAAAACACCCGAAGGAATGAGCAAGTCACGGAGAGGACGAGTGAAGCTGAGGCCGAAACCAACCCCGAAATCATTAAGATGCTTGAGGAACTAGCGAAGCGGGTGAAATCATTAATCACTTGTATCGAATTAATCTGCATAACCTTAAAATGGCGTATAAATTCAATTGTTATCCATTTTTAAGGGTAAACTGTTTGGTGCCAACCATGGGGCGAAGGATAATAGTGGTTGCTTGGTACAAATATCCATAACACACTATATTTTACGCTTGTTCTTTAAGATTTTAATTTTAGGTCTACCTAAGGATGTCGAACTCTCAATCTGCTCACTTCGACGTTGATATTTAGTCTAGCATCATGGAAAAAACAACAATATAGCACCTAGCAATGAGGTGCCTCCTGCTGATCCTAACAGAGCCCCAGTCGTAGACACAATCGATAACAACTCGCATGTGGCCGTTGACGCCAACCTGTTGACTGACCTTGAGAACAACGTTCTCGGGGGAGCCCGACCAACGACTCAAGCTATGCTCGAAGGTAAAGGAGACATAATTAATCTACGGGTGATCTTCGAAATGTTATAGGCTCAATAGGTGGCGATAGCATAGCTACAAAACCAAAGTCGTGCCCCTAGCAGAATTGAGCCCGAACAATCCTAGGAAAATACCCGAAGGAATGAGCAAGTCACAGAGAGGACGGGTGAAGCTGAGCCCGGAACCAACCCAAAATTATTAAGATGCTCGAGGAAATGACGAAGCGGGTGGAATCGGGAGAAAAGAAAATTGAGGCCAATGATAAAAAGGTGGATACCTATAACTCCAGAGTTGATCAAATCCCAGGAGCGCCCCCGATATTGAAAGGCCTAGACTCCAAGAATTTGTCCAAAAGACTTTCCCCCCGAGCACTGCACCGAAGCCAATCCCAAAGAAGTTCCTTATGCCCAAAATTTTGAAGTATAATGGAACCACAGATCTAAACGAACACGTGACCTCCTACACGTGAGCAATCAAGGGGAACGACTTAGAAGATGGCAAAATTGAGTCGGTTTTGCTTAAAAAGTTTGGAGAAACCCTGTCAAAAGGAGCAATGATATGTTATCATAACTTACCCCTAATTCTATTGATTCGTTTACTATGCTTTCAGATGCCTTTGTGAAGGCGCACGCCGGGGCCATCAAGGTCGAGACCAGGAAATCTGACCTTTTCAAGGTTAAACAAAGAGATAACGAGATGCTCAAGGAATTCATGTCGAGGTTTCAAATGGAATGAATGGATCTGCCTCCGGTCGTAGACAATTAGGCTGTTCAGGCGTTCATACAAGGGCTCAACTCTCAAAGATCCATGGCTTCACAACGGTTGAAACAGAATTTGATAGAATACCTTGCGGTAACTTGGGCATATATCCATAACAGGTACCAATCAAAAATCAGAGTCGAGGACAATCAGCTTGGGCCCCCCTCCAAGTCTGATCACGTCCAAATGCATGCCTCTAAAGAGTTATGGCACGATCGTTTCAATAATAAAATCCAACAAGGAGTCGAGATCGAATTCACAGGGAACTACGATGGGAGTTAGTAGTATATATTCGGAAAGAGTACGTGAAGAATCGAGATTGCACTTCCACAAATAGGTTTTTATTTTTACTTCTAAAATTAACTAAGGATTGCAAATTTAAAGGTATAAAACTAGAGATGATTATTTTTGAGTGCTTTTCAAAGATATAAAAAAGCCCAGGGCTGTGACCATGACCTAGGTATTTGCCTAATGGGATAAAGACTTTTATGCTAGTTTTATCAACTAGGGTGTATTATAGCCACAACTCTACATTTCCCACTCAATACCTCTCGGTCAGAGAGTGGTTTTGCCCAATTTGGTTCTCAAGTCCAAATGGGTATCTATCTAAACGGTTGATAAGAGCTCAAGTCAGGTTGTTACTATCTCTAGGTTGAACCCTTTAATTGAGTTAATCAATCTCTCAATTGACCCAATTCCTTGTTAGCTAAGTTAACCTAGACTAGGTCTCTCTTTCTCAAGAAGAGACTAAGTCAAATATGTATGAATTAATGTTTGTATTAATTCCACAATTGAAGCATGCATCAATCCTCGACTATAGGAGTGGCTGTGTAGGTGAACATTTGGCGCACCACCTAGGTAGTATTGGCAGCTAGATCTGCCTCCTCAGATTGGCCAGCTGGTGCCACTGGAGTTGATAGTGCTACTAGTGCTGCTGGTGCTGTAAGAGCTGGATCCATCAGCATGTCAAATGGAAGATCTCCAACTGCAGCTATCTTGGTCACCTCTCTCTAGAGCTTGTCAACTGACTTCTTAGAATCCTGGGACTTTCTCATTTTCTTTACTTCCTTTCCTAGCTCCTCAATCACTACCCCATGTTGTACCAGAGTGTTCATTATGGTGGTCTGGTTCTACAAAAGCTTCTTCAATTCCTCTTCCACTGTCGGAGGAATCTAGGGTGCCGGAATGGATGACTGTACTGCAATAGTATTGGATATGTCAGATAGCTTTTTAGTATCTGTCTGCATTCAATTGTTGATGTTCGCCAGTGTCTGGTAGACTCGTAGCGCAGAAATGGAGAAGTAGGCATAGGCACCGGCTTCAAAGCCGAGGTAGAACCTGTCGTAGAAATAGCAGTGGGAACTGAAGATGGTGGTGGAAGCATTATTGCGGCGCTGGAGGAAGGCTTGGGTGAAGTAGATGGACCCTCAACTATCTCAGCAACTAACATAGCTGGCTCGTCAAACTGGCCCGCAGTGATAGGAGACTGAACCTTCTTCTTTGGGTTCGTAGGGTCCATCAGATAGTACCATGAGAAGGACTTCTTCGACCGCACCTTCATATCATAATCCCTCGGCTCTACCCCCACATCTGTGAGATACTCAGTAATAGTGTTGGGATACGGGTAAGACGAGTCAGCTTTCCTCACGATCACAGAAATAGTGGCCGACATCACAGCACCCACATTGATCGGAT